ATATTAAGTTTTAAGTAATATGCATTAATAAACAGTACTTTACATATAAAAAGTAGTTTTTAAGAGTTTTTGTCAAATGCTTTATAATATAGTATATATTATTTTTTTTAATTTAATTTAAGTTTAATAATGAAATAATTTATTTTTGGTTTAATAATATAACATTTATTTTTGGTTTAATAATATAACATTTTATAAACATATTAGTTATATATAGTTGGTTTCAGATACAAAATGCAACTTTTGCAAATTTTACAAATCAATCAAATTGAGATATTTATGAAAATGGCGATGATTCATTTATTATTATTTGGAGATTTACGGAAGATGATTAACATTTTATATTATGAAACAATCGAGATATTTATGAACCCACATAGTCATTTGATTAAATGAACGGTTGAGATCGATTTGTATAGTTTGTGACAATATAATGGTTTGTATAATAATTAATAAACCACCTCTAGTTATGCATTAAAACATATGAAAAAATTGTACACGAACTGTCGTCGAACAAGTGTAAAGTTGTGGTTTCCAGTGTGCTAGATAATTTTTATCAGATACCGGATAGTTGTTTAGTTGGCACATACATAGCCTAAAATCGTATACATGAGAAAAGATACAGGTTTAGGTTAAAACTGCATCTGCATACATGCATAACCGAATAAAACATATTGGTAATTTTGATTCTCATTCGATCCAGATGTCCTTCCAAACTTTACCCGTAAAGAAACAGATGCAGATGCTATATCTGACCAATCCCTCTTTGCGTAAGAATCAATCATCACGCATATGTACAAAGTCTAATGTCAGGTACAGTACCAGAGCACCGTACGAACTCTCCATCAACTAAAGATAACCACAAAATAAAAGGGGAATTGATCGAAATAGCAGATCTTTCCATTGGAATTCACTTTATAGCCAATTTTTTAATCTGATTTCCAAATAGTCTGATTTTACGCAAATGCTTTACACGTTTGCTTAAACCAGTTGTTTCTGATAAAAAAAAGTACGGTTTATGCAAATTTCCATAAATTATTTGCATGAAAAACTAAAAATAGTTATTTAATTATAATTTATATTATTTATGGGATTTGACTGGGGACAAGATGTTAATCCTCGTACCCGCCGGGAACCGGGGCCGGGGTTGTTACTAAAAATGGGCCAGGGACGAGGATTACAAAATACGCCCCATATCCGTCTCGTTGCCATGCCTAATTTGGGTAAACAATATATTTTCTTTAATTTGAAAAAAAAATGGTTTAAATCGATTTTAGAAAATGAATTCAAATAAGTAGATAGACTATTTTGATCAATTTCTTCATACTCGTGCAAGCTCGTTTTAATAATTATCGATTTCTGGCCGATCTCGAACACAAAGTAGAACTCGTTTGACTTAATGAGTTGAGTTTTATAACACTAATGTTCAACTCGGCTCGTTCGAGAACTCGATTCAATTTTTCGAGTCGAGTCGAGTTGAGCTGCGCAAACATACACATTTTCGAATCAAACATGCTCATATTTGTATTAATCATAAAATAAAAATGTAAAAATTATCGAGTTTAAGCCGACACACAAGTTAATCGATCGTGCCCATAAACAAGCATCGAGCTCGATAACTCAAAAAACATTCTAGCCCTACATTGAAAAAGTTAATCGAACTCGAACCTAATATTAATTTTTTGAACTCAACTCGATTAACCTACTAGTCGACTCAACTCGTATACACCTCTCCTCAAACTTAAATATTAAAATTCTCGAGAGGAAAGGAGGCAGGTGACTTGAGTTTGTCGTTCAAGCACATGTTGTGCACATGACCGCCTTGCTTCCAATGTTAGCATTCCTTTTACAAATTACACCCCTTTACTTTAAAAATAAACAACTTTAGTCCTTATTCTTTTACTCCTTTCCGCTTTATCACTTGGTGTTTGGATCGAATGACAATATGAAATGATTTTGAGGGATTTTGATTTTGTGAAAGGATTTAGAATTGGAAAGATTTGAAATCTTTGATTCGTTTTATTTATAGATTTGGAATGGAATTGAATTCCATTATTTATAAATAATTATAGGGAAAATTGCATCAAAATTGAATCAACTTTCACCTAATTCCTATTTTGGAGAATCAACTTTCAAAATCGTCATTTTGGGGAACTAACTTGCACCTGATTTCTATTTTGGGGAACCAACTTGCAAAATAATTATGAAAAAATAACTAAAATTTGTTTTTTTTTCTTCCAAAAATTGATGCAATAAAATCTATTTTTCATTTCAAATCTTTTTTTTTTAATTCAGATATCAAATTGAATTTTTAAAAAAAAATTTCAAATTACCACAATAAAAATTATCTTTTACTAATGCAAAAAAAATCAATTTAATAGAAAAAAAAATTAATTGATGCAATTAGTTCGATATAAAAATCTTGAATGTGATATTTAATATTTGATTTTTATTGCATCAATTAATTTTTTTATATTAAATTGATTTTTTTGCATTAATAAAAAATAATTTTTATTGTGGTAATTTGGATTTTTTTTAAATGTTCAATTTGATATCTGAATTAAAAAACGAGATTTGAAATGAAAAATAGATTTTATTGGGTTACTATTATTTGAACCCAACCCAACCCGATGAACCCGATATCTTTTTATTTCTTGGATTTAATATGATTGTTGAATTTATATTAATATATACATTAGACAATTACACTATCATGTATGCTTTTCATATGCATATATTTTCAATCTATTCACATTTATATATAACTCATATATATATATATATATATATTCAGTAACTGTGAACATATATATGTAAATTGAGAAAATTAACTTAATTTTAATATACGTAAGAAATATGGATACGTTGTATTAAATGGTTGATGATGAAAAAGAAATTATGAGTAGAATAAATAACATATTCAAGGTTAAAAAAATATTTTAATATAACAAAGTATCAATCCAATTAATCCACACGGGTTAGGTTGGGTTGCACTTTAATTTGGATTGAATTAGGTTAAGATTTTTTCAAACTGTAAACATTAAATTGAGTTGATCAAATATCTTCAATCCGATAAACCCAACCTTATAAACACCCCTAACTTGAAAATGGTCCACATGGATTGGAATGTATTTTACCGCCTTACCCACTAAAACATTAGATTAAAATAAATAAAATATATAATATAATATCAGCACTTCAAAATCCAAAACTCCAGCATACAGAAAGAGTCCGCAGTCATCAAATAACATGTGGCGATATACTAGCATGCACTCGTTGCCTGTTCGTGCGGCGATCCGATAGGCGCGCTTTCTCTCTCTAAATCGCTCCTCCGTTCCTCCGTCACGAGATACCGGAAAATACCTTGAACTCGCAGTCGCCGCCGTCATCATCATCGCCATTTCAAAACTTGTCTTCGTTTTCACTCATATATACGTGTCGGAAAAATCACGAATTCTGATCGCTTGATTTTGCAGTTATCAATATTCAAATCAATGGACCGAAAGTCAATTCCTGTGAGCCTTTCCGTTCTTCTACGTAAAATTGATCTCTCAGTTTTCACTCTTCTTTAGATTATTGGAGCTTTACGCGTCTGTATAGGTTTTTTGTTCATTAATCTGATGCGGCGTTGTTTTTTTTTTCCTTCTAGAAAAATTGTTGTAGGATTTGGATTCGACGATCTCCTGAGAGCTGCATCTGCGTGGTGTTCGACGTTCAATAGGACTTCTTTTATAATTGATATTTGATTTTAGCGATCGGTTCAAATGGAGAAAAAGAAGTATCCGGTCGGAGCAGAGCACTATGTGCTGTATGAGGAGATAGGACAAGGTGTCAGTGCCTCAGTTTTTCGAGCTTTGTGCATCCCTAGTAACGAGATTGTTGCTATTAAAGTACTCGATTTTGAACGTGGCAACAGCGATTTGGTAAATTCAGTTCGTTATTTGTTATTCTTGTTTTTGCACGATACATATACTCTGTTTTCATGATGTGAATTGGTTTGAATGATCGTTTTGATGATTTTTTATTATAATTACTCCAGTGAGTTTGAAGCTGTGGTTTTGGTTGATAGGACAGTGATAAATATAACTTAGGTACTTGTTGCTACAATGCTACCTAGTTTTCAGATTGTTGTGCTTATCCGGAATTGGACTGTGTATTATACCTGAAATTGCAAGGCTGCAAGACGACCTTGATCAGTTTGAGGATTTATCGATCAGGCTTATGACTTCTGTTTTCAGCTGAGCCTTCTATGGTTGATTTAGAAACCAAGATAACGCTTGCCCTTTTCTAATCCTTTTCCCTTTCTAGGATAGGGAGTACCACAAATCCGAGAAGTCATAGCAGGCTTTTTTTTGAATAATGTAATGATCAGGCAAGCATTGTGCCATAAGTCATGTTTTTTAGAGAAAAAAATCATAGAGAGATTACCTTTGATAGCTATTTCAAGGAGATACTGAAATCTGGTCTCAGGACTGGTGCGGTGGGAGTGTCTCAGAAGGGTGGCGTCTACCCTTTTTTAAAATTATGGTCTTTATGTTGAACTTTAGTAGTGTTTCACAGTGACGATCAAAATCTCTGCTTAAGGAGGTTATCTACCTTCATTTTATGTTCAATGAGAATAGATTATGGAGAATTCTAAGCGGATAAATTTTAAAGGCTAGGATTTGTTGCTACATTCAAAAATGGTTTGTGCTCTTGGATTTGCTATGTTCTTTATGTTAAGGAGGAAGGGGGATTCAAACTCGTAGCCTTTGGTGTACCACCACTTGATGGTCATGCTCTTTGATTCTTATTTTAAAACGTATATTTCCACCAGGACCTCTAACTTTGCTTTAAGTGATATCAGAAATCTGGAATTAATTGGACTGATTTAATCTTGTTTGCACCAAATTTATTATGTGTGATTGATAACCTATGTTTGCTTCATTCTCGTTTGTTAATATGTTATCAGAACAATATATCGCGTGAGGCTCAGACAATGATCCTGGTTGATCATCCAAATGTTCTTAAATCACATTGTTCCTTCGTAAATGACCATAACCTATGGGTTGTCATGCCTTTTATGCCTGGTGGTTCTTGCCTTCATATATTGAAGTCTGCCCATCCCGAGGGTTTTGAGGAAGTTGTTATTGCAACTATACTGCGAGAGGTATTAAAGGCACTGGAGTATCTTCACCATCATGGCCTCATTCATCGAGATGTCAAAGTGAGTTTTGATTCCATTTAAATCTGAAAGTCTCGGAGTTCATATCAATATATTTTTTATTGCTCATGTATTTGTGACCTTGGTCAAGATATAAGCTGGTTTTGCCTTCTTATGATGCCTTATACTTATTCTGAAACAATTTGTTTTTTGTTGTAGTGGTTGCTCATTACTATTTTTTTCTAAATAGAAGACAGGCCATGAGATAGTCAAGTAAACAAAAATTATGTACCCACCAGTGCCTGTATTAGGATATATCTAGTTATCTCATTGTATCATGTGACTGACAATTTTCCTCTACTTGGCATGTTCAACATAATCACACTAGGAGATACCTGATCTGGGCCATGCTATCGAAGTTGTGTTTTCTTCTGGTCCGTGGGGCTTATATTGTAATCTCAACCGACGAGCACGATGAGAGAAATCATTTTTTTTTCCACCAGTAGCTCTTAGAACTTTTCTTTCTCTTACATTTGTGATACTCAGGGTGAATGGCTTATACTTTTAGAAATCTTATTTGCAGAACTCTGCTATAAAGATCAACATTATAATGTAGGCATATCTAGAGTTTATGCAGTATGCCCATTTTATCAGTAAATGTTTTAATGTCTGACACATATATATATATATATATATATATATATATATATACTTGGGATTTTGTGAGAATAAGAGTTACATTGAGAACAAAACCTTCATTGACCTATTTCTATCACCATGACTGAAACTTTAACAAATCATGCATGTGAAAGTGATTGAAGGCATGTAAAAGTTCATGAAGGTGAATGAAAATGAAGATTAATGTTGATGAAGGTAGTTGATGGTAGATAAAGGAAGTTGAAGGTCCGTGTTTTTGGTCAGCAATCAATTGAAGGTAATTGAAGGCCTGCAGTTTCAGTAATTAGATTAAAAAATAAACTCATCCAGCTGTTTAGAAGTATTCTCACCATTCTCACTTCAACTCTTATTCTCAGTGGAACCCAACCCTATAGGCTATATATATATAGGTATGGGACTATGGGGATATTTTAGACTTCCATGGACCTTGTTACTGATGGCAACCTATAAATGTGAGCTATGTGGGTATTTTCTCACCTTTTACCTTATAAATGTGCTCATATCTTCACTGTGGTTTATCACCTCTCTTCATTTGGTAGGCTTGTCATCTTTCATGTGCCAGAACGTTTACAAACATCCATGTCATCAGACTTTTGTTTATTCTCTCCCTTAATTAGCCTAATCTATTCACCTGTAAAATCACAAGGATATGGGTTCATTAATTAATCTTAATATACAAGTCCATAAATATTCCCAGGAACTGGTTCAACTCTTCTCCAAAATATAAAAATTAATTTTTGGATAATGAGAACATTCCAGTTCAGGTGGTTGGAGGGCTTGGAGCTACTTGCTTGCCTAGAATTGCATGAAGAGAGTTAAACTATAATGTTTCATGGCAAAAATTTTGTGACATAATTACTATACTTAACTACCATTATCCTAGATAAGATGGCTTTTGGTTTTTTCATGCTTGAGGCCAATTCATTGTCAATCATGAATCATGATTGATATTTCTACTTATTCCTACACTGTTGTTCCCTTTATTTGTCTGTAGAAAAAATGATAGGATACAAGTTTGAAAATGTTTTTGGTTTCTTGGGTACATGTACGTCAATGCGTTATGTGTACTTTTCAGTGAAAGCATTCTTACTTGTTGACTTGTTGAAGATGTTTAAATTGAGTTTTTGGATGCAACTCTTTTGCTGTTTTGACAGGCTGGAAACATTCTCATTTGCGAGCGTGGTTCAATCAAGCTGGGAGATCTTGGTGTTTCCGCTTGCCTATTTGATTCTGGTGATAGACAACGGACGAGGAATACATTTGTTGGGACACCATGCTGGTACTGTCTTTTGTTACTTGCATAATTTTTCATGTCATACATTAATCTTTGTCGATATTTGAAACATGGCTCCGCATCCTTGGTATCTATGGAGGCTTAACATTTCAAAATAATCATGACAGACATATGCCGTGATCCATAATGACGTTGTCCGGATTTATACTTACTGTGGCTTTACATTTTTCTAGGATGGCGCCTGAGGTTATGGAACAATTGCATGGCTATGACTTCAAGTTAGTAGTTTCATTTTTATCTTGTCAATTTTCGTATCTTGTCAGTAAGATACAAAAATTGCATGGAAGGTTCCCTGTCCCTTTTCAAGACCAAAACGGTGGAAACAATAATGTATATGTTTGGCAATATCTGCAGGGCTGATATCTGGTCCTTTGGCATAACGGCTCTGGAGCTTGCTCATGGGCATGCTCCTTTCTCGAAGTATCCTCCAATGAAGGTGCATAAATGTTGCAGTTTCATGTCTTTTTACTTCTCTGCAATTGATTGGGACTGACTGAGTCAAGCTATATATAAAGCTAAGTCATCACTACTTAAATAATTATAACATGATAGGTTTTGCTCATGACCTTGCAAAATGCACCTCCTGGTCTTGATTATGAGAGGGACAAGAAGTTCTCTAAGGTGATGTGATTGTTTCTTTTTTACCACTTTATGATCACATCGTCTCATACTTGTGCTGCCTGTTCTCTGTCCAAAGTCTTTTAAGCAGATGATTGCAAGTTGCCTGGTTAAAGATCCTTCAAAACGTCCTTCTGCAAAGAAGCTTCTGAAGCATTCTTTTTTCAAACAAGCTAAATCGAATGAATTTATAGCACGCAAGCTTTTGGAAGGACTGCCTACACTTGGTGATCGCCTTCAAGCATTGAAGGTTCCTCTATTATTTTTCTTTCAGATTACTTCGATTTTATTGAATTCATTTATGTTATTTCAACTCTGTTTTACCAAGTCAATAAATTGATTTGTTGGAATAATAGAGAAAGGAAGAAGATATGCTTGTGCAAAAGAAGATACCTGATGGACAGAAGGAAGAAATGTCACAGGTATGGTATACGGGGAATATGTTGAATCATATATTTGTTTTTTTGGTTTCCTTCTTGCACTTTGTGAGTATGGTTTTAAATCTATGCTATGTAGTCATCTACTATGGGATGTAGCTGCTAAAACATTTCCTATGTGTGATGAATTATTGTTGGGGCATGGTTTTTCTTCAATCTCCTGGCCCTTGCTTAACTTCTTGTTCCGTAAACCGAAGAGTTGATCTTTCATTTCAAAAGTGGTATCTCCCCAATGGAGAAATGATCACAGCCCTTCTCCTCAGCTCAGTCCTTTTGGTTTTCTTTTATTTGTCTACTCCTCATCCATTCTTCTCGCTCTCATCTCCCCACTAATTGAAAATTGGTCTAAGTGATTCTTGTTTGTGTTTATTCATTCCTGGTTCCTAATTGTGTTTTCTAACTTGTTTCTAGAACGAATATAAAAGAGGGATTAGTGGCTGGAACTTCGACCTTGAAGATGTAAAAGCTCAGGCTTCCTTGGTATGGTACTTGATATTGATATTTATTTTCCAATTGACAGGTCCTTGCAAAGTTGAATAGCATCCTAAGCACTTGGGTTAATCAATGACATATTCTTCATGTAACTGGAACAAACCGCAATAACCTTTTAAAAGATTGAATTAATCAATGATGTAATCTTATTTATGTAACTAGATCCAGGATGAGGAGTCTATATCTGACAAAGACCAATTAGGGAACTCAAACTCTTTCAATGGGACCGCAGCAGGTGAAATAGACCTTCAGCATGAAGTGGCGTATATGAATGAGGCTTCAACAGATTTAGTATGTCGATAGCCTCTAACTAATGGATAGATTCTATGCATTATTTTTGCTTTTAGAATAATGACTAACATTTTGCAGGCCGGATCTGCTCCAATTGTCAACAGTCCTGCAAAATTCTCTGCGTATGTCAACTTAAGTTCAATTATTCTATGTCCTGCAATATCATGCTATACATCTGCTACATACAATTGTTCTTATAGCCTTATAGGAAGTTCTATCATACAGATTTGCATACGCTTGAAGTTTTTGCATCTAATATCATGTTTCCCTTCATATTCTTCTACATACAAATGTCCTTGTAGGGAGTTCTATTCTATCATACAAATTTGCACATGCTTGAAGTTTTTACATCTATTACCATATCTCCTATCATCTTCTTCTACATACAATTGTCCTTATAGGGTGTTCAATCATATAGATTTGCATATGCTTGCAAATTTTGCTTCTCTTATCATATCTTCTTTCATATATTATCCTGTGGATGGCCTTCATTTTGTTACACTTAAAATGTTCAGAGGCAACTGTGAGAAACCTGTAGATGCCTTGGGGTTTGCTAGATCTGCCGATGGGCACCTGAGTTTGCAGTATTCTTCTTCCTCTGATGATAATGGCAACATGATCAATTATGCTGGAAAACCTTACTTGGATACTAATGGAAAACCCTTCAATTGTGTTGCATCTCTTCCTCACCAAGGGGAAGCTTCATCTGGATGCATTGTTGTGGAGGAGAAGTATGACATTTTACATATATGTTATCCGTAATCATTTTTATTTCATGTATAGACTTAGATATATTTCTGCTATATTTGGAAGTAGCAATGTTGTGGCATGTACTCCCTCCGTTCCTAGTAAGTGTCCACATTTCTATTTAGTTTATCTCAAAATACGGGTCCACTTACTTACTTCTCAATCCTACCCTTAATTATGAGACGTCCCTCTTTTATTAAGGGTAAAATTGTCATCTAGTTGATCAAAAAGTGTAATAATTACGCATTTATAAAACTGTGTCTTACTTTGGGACGGAGGAAGTATCATGAACAACTTTCATAATATTACCAGGATGCGTCTCTCCAGGGCATATATGGGATTTATGCATAATTTCATCCACTTTTAAATGCTTCTGCTGCTTACTGGTTCTGAAAGTGGTCTTCCCCTTCCTCATATTGTTTTGAACTATGAGCCATGATGCATTCCTACATTTTGGTTGCCACACACACACACACATATAGGGATGGGTTCCGGTGAGAATGGAAGTTATAGTGAGAAGGGTCAGAAGGGATCTCCACCCTCGGATCAATCCTAATTGAAGATCAACACTAATGAGATGCACCAGATCAATTCCCATGGGAGCGCAATTCATGAGGTGGGGGTGAGATTAAAAGTGATCAAGGGTCCAAATCCCTTCTTACACTTCTCACCTTTACTCCTATTCTCACACGATCCTTCCTCCATATATATGTATGTTGTTAATGGTTTTATGAATCCAAACAAATTGAAAATATATGTTGCATTATGTTTATCCATATTTGGTTGCTAATGAACTACTCACTGGCTCGCTCTATCTCTATATCAAGTATATATTTGATAGTCATCTCTGTACCATACATAAAAAACGAAATTATTTGAAATTTCAATGGTGGCTACCTCTACCTTCCCCTTAACCAGATGTGTTTGTGCTGACATTGTACACTGTTCACCTTTCAGCCCTTTCTACTTTCACAAATTCCTTAAAGAAAATACATACATACATAGTTTTTGTATCTTTTGTCAGAAAACAGTATATATTAAATCGGCAATATAGACATCTGTTTTTTCTTTTCTTTCCTCTCCCTGCTCTTTTGCTTTTGACATTTTTTCTTTCAATTTTATGAAAATTTCAGTGGCAAGTTGCAAGGTCAGATACCTGTAGTCCGTAGTTGTAATGGAATTCAATTACTCCAGGTGGTAGATGCATCGACATCTGAGTCCATGTCGAAGACCTGTAAAACAACATGTGAGTTTTCAGCGTGATCTTTCACCCAAAAGTTTAGTTTAATGACAGTCAACAGTTTCGACTTTTCCTTCACTATCTTCTTTCCATGTTGTATTAAGGCAAGAGAAGTTTCTTCTGTTAACAATATTGGTGAAACAGTAACTAGTGATGAACAAGATGAGAAGACAAAGTGCCCTGTGGTTCAACAGAAAGGGCGTTTTAAAGTGACCTCTGAGAAGGCCGAGGTCGAGAAGGTAACTTTTTCTCTTCTTTTTTTGAGGTCATCGCGTGCATTCATATTGCAACTACCGACTACTACTTTTTGTAGGGTGCTTCATGTCCTGCATTATTAAAGAGTCCAAGCATGCGGGTATGATACTTATGCTTATTCATCTGAAAGCATCTTTTCTTTCATCAATTCTATAAAGTACATTCTCTGGTATTCTGGTGTTTGAGCATAAACCCATCATGTTAAACCTTTTTGCATGGACAAATTTGTATTTATTTACCCTTAGGTGCCATTTGGTTTGTAGGATTGGATAAGATTTGGAGGGGTTTGGAATTCAATTCCATTTCAATCCCATGTTTGGTTTGAATAATTGCTTGGATTTGAAATCCCATGGGGATTCTTGGTATTTTGCGGGATTTTGTTGGATTTGTGTGTAGTAATGTTCTAAAATATGTAAAAAACATTTGTTTTATAATAACCAATTAATAAAAAAGGTAATTTAGTTATTTTTATAATTGTTTATAATTTGTTTTTTATAACTTATTTATAAAAAATGAAATTCAATTTCATTCCAAATCCTACAAACCAAACATACCAAAGATTCCAAATCTTTCAAAATCGAAATCCCTCTGATTACAAATCCTTCAAAACCATTCCATCAAACTAAACGTCCCCTTAGCATATCATTGTATTGTCTTCTTGTTATCAATAGCCCAATAACGCCACCCTATATAGCACCCCCACTGCACATGTTCCACGGTCATCGGGGGAGGTAACTTGCAATGCATCCCATTGGCAGAGGGACAGTGCCTGGGCTCCCGAGACCTCACACATATGGATTATACCCGCACCTCTATCGATAGGATAGATCAGCGTGACATGACTAACTAAACTAGTAGAAGGGCTGCTATTGGGTTTGCAAATGTTTGGCAGGAGATTGTAATTTTGTTTGAATGTTTCTATGCAAACTACCGTTGAAAGCCCAAAAATATAATATTTTCTTTGTTGAAGTGCGTAGTATTTTATATACAACAAAACTCACTCCTCAACTTTTGTGACGTTTGAACCTTTGACCTCCACGGAGATTGTGCTATATAGTTAACCGGGGTGCAACTCGGCAATGTCCCTTTGGTAGAAAATAATATTTTCACACTTTAAAGACATTCCCTATATCATATCTTTTTGGGGGCTGGATAGTTTGTGGTTTGTTTTTTCAATATGCCCAACACCATGGTGATGTATTTGTTCCATCTTCATTAACTACACTAGAGTGCAATTATGGTGGGTAACAAACTTATGGAGATATCTTTTTCATGTTATTTAGAAAGATGGTCATGCTGCCATTAGTTGATAATTCTTTCATATATGTTATGCGTTTGTGCAGGTAATAATCCAACATCCCACTGTCTCTCAACCGTCTCAAGGTGACACCTCTTCTATGCCACAAAATCAAACTACCCATCTCCTTCCCCCTATGGTTGCTGCTCAGCAGACAAATAATCTTCAACGGGTAATATTAGTTAAATATGTATTTGCTGCAAGTTTTACAGGGAGGTTCAAATGAGAACAACATTTTTTTTTGAAAATGTGAGAACAAATCTCAAATAAGATCATCCAATAGGTAGATTAAAAAGGTGGTTACAACAGTTCTTTTTAAAACAAAAACAAAAAATCCCCCATCCCCTATTTTTTAATCAAAAATAGGCGATATATAACCAAAATTGGAGCCGAACAAATTATACCAATTTTTTTGGTTTTATTATTTTTTTTATTTGACATCCATATTGTTATACTTTTTTTCAACCCTTTTTTGTCATTCTCGCGTTCTCAACCTTTTTGTCATTCACATTTGAACCTGCCCTGCAAGTTTTATTTGCTTAAAAGCAAAAATTGTTTACGTGTTACCTCTTGCAGAATGGCAAATCAAGTTCAACAACGCAACTCTCTACTCCTGATACAACAGGTTGGGGTATTTCTATCGTCAGAGTTATATTTTGTTTCATGAATGTTACTCTCAATTGTTTTATGACCAGCCAACAGCAGCACAGATGGAGGATCCACACCTGTCAACATCAACGGACTAGAGAAATCAAAGGTAAAGTATCTGTTCTAATCAACTTCATAAGTTAATGGCTGTATTTTTTGATTGGAGAATAGCTTCCTGTGGTTTACGCTCGGCTTGTAACTTCTATATATTTTGATTATTTATTCATCCTCTAGCATCCCTTTAAAATAAAAGGTTTATATACAGGAAATTTACAGAAATAGCCAATCTCACAGGCTCATTTAACTTTATAGCCATTTTCACACGGCAATTCAGTTTTTAGCCAATCCTTGTTTAGAAAGTGGAATTCTGCGTAAGGATTCCACTTTCCGCATAAGGATTCTACTCTTTTTTTTTTTTTTTTTTTTCCAAAAACCAATCTTTACGCATATACGTAAGCCTTCTGCATAAGGATTGGCTACAAAGTGAAATGGGGTCTGAAAATGACTAAAAAAAGCGAAACCCCTTTGGCAAATTGGCCATTTCTGTAAATTTTCCTTCGTATACAACACATCATGCTTTTCCTTGCAACTTCCGCACTGTGTTGGAAACTGAGAAGGGAATTGCTTATAGCCATCTAAAAATGGAAAACAGATACCTTTTGGACCTAATGAAGCAGGAACACCTTAAAATATTTAAGACTGTTTCAGGTTGCATAATAATTAGTTTTCGTTCTTGATCAATATGGGTGTGTTTGGTACTCGGGATAGGACAGTGCAGTACAAAAACTTGTTCCTCTTTTGACGTGACATAAGAATCAGGACAAGAAAGGACATGAGTGGGACAAAAACCAAAATAGGTGGAACAAAAATCTGGGAAATGTGACAAGATTGGTAAATTTTTATACTATCATGTCAAATTAAATCCCTAAAACCTTCCACCAATTCTTTAATCTGCCTACCTGACTCTCTTCTGTCCAGTCCTGACCCTTTTGCGTAACAAACGCACTCTATATGTTGTGGGTAACCACGTCATCTCTGTGCAAGTAGCACTTCCTGTCTTAAGTGATGATAGCCTCACTTGATCTCCCCCCCCCCCCCCCCCCCCCCCCCCCCCCAAGTTCTTAACCAACCCTTTCTCTTAGAGCTTTATAAGAAACGACAAATAAGTTCTCTTGATTGGTAGAAGTGGTCCAAATGTTTTTTTATTTAATTAAGTAGGAATTGTTATTCATCAAAGGACATTTGACTTAAAGGGAAGTTTACCAAACGCTTACTGGCAAGAGGCACCACCCTTACTTATCTTACCGGTAATATCAAATGGATTGTTGGTAAACGTCTTTTACCTGGTAAGCGCTTACCTGTTAAGACTTGAGAGTTTTATCCCTCACTTACCAAGTATGATTATTGGTCTTTGCTATGCCTCTTACCGGGTAAGATTTCTCAGTATGTCATACTCACCCGATAACGTTTGGTAAAACAACCACTTAGTAGTTCAAAATAAGCATGTACTGAGGGTACTGGTAACATAACATAGTGGTCATTTTGTGGTTTTTTTTCTTGAACAAGATTCGGGCTGGTGTTAATGCTTGTTGGACCGGAAATTTTACTAAAGTGGCCCATTTGCAACTTCTTTTAGATAATTGGCAAATATGGACGTTTTGGTATAGTTAGGTTCAATATAAGCCAGTCTTCTGTATTATGATATTGGCATCTCATATACGAAGGTCATATCCAAGCCAAAAAATAAACTTAAATAATTTTTTGTTTATCCATTACCTTTTTTTTGTATTTGCAGCTAGAGGCAGCCAACGATAGGGAAAAGGAATTACTCGATGAAATAACCGATTTACATCGGAGGTAAAACACCAATTCGTAAACACCTGTTTCGGTTAGGTGCTAATAAAAATGGATTTAATTGTAACGTCTTATTTTTTGCTTGTAGGCTCTTATCTGCGCAGGAGGAGCTACAGAAATACAAAGCTGGAAATGCACAGGTCAGAATGTTTATGACTCATCTCATTTCCATTCCTTAAATTTATTTACTCCTTTGGTCCCATCCCAAAATAAATGTCCATATATTTTTTTTTGTTTCAAAATAAGTGTGCACTTTTAAAAGTAAGTACATGATTTCCAATTTTGACCTTGGTTATAAGATGGAGAAGTTTATTATTCCCTCTAATATTAAGGGTACCATTGTAATTTAGAGCATCTCTAATGGGAGGTTGTTATAAATAAAAAGTGTAATAAGTACCATTGAGGAGAGTTATTATAAGTCACCCATATCGTTGAAGTTCTTGTCCTACCTTTAATTTTTGTGTGAAATGACATATTATATATATATATATATATATGTGTGTATATATATATATTATAAATCACCCATATCTTAGAGTTCTTGTCCTACCTTTGATTTTTTTTTTTGAAATGACATATTTATATATATATATATATATATATATATATATATTCTCTTCGTATTATCGATGTTGACATGGGACCCATAAAAGAAAGTTTTCATAAGAGCATCTCCATCAGATTAAGCAAAATGGATATTTTTGTTCCAACATAGTCCCCAAAACCATCTCCAAAATGGAGAAAGTAGGAGAGAGAATGTGAAATTCTCTAAATTTGGAATACTCTCCAAAATGATTACCTATGAAAGACGAATTAATTTTTGTATTCTTTATGCTAATGAGAATCCTTGAAATTAAACATTTAGGAGAGGTAAGTAATATCTTTATGAAATTTATTGAATATTTCATTAATATAATTCATATTGTTATATCCAAAATGGAGAAGCTCTCGGAGATGAACATAAATTTTCTTTAGAGATCTTGATTTTTGATTCTCCGTTTTGGAGTCATTCCGTTAGAGATGCTCTTAGTTAATTAAAAGGGTAATAATTACATATTTATAAAATCCAATATCTTTTTCATTACAAACATTTATTTTGAGACAAATAAAATATATGTTTTCCTGATTGCTAACTTATTGGAAGTTGTTTGCAGGCATGAGTTGTGTCGGATTCAACCAACCACCTAATCAGACAAAGCTTTTATCATCCAAGATCGCTTTTGAAATAAAAAGGTTCAAATTGCTCATGCACATATGCATAATTTTAGTTATTATTTCTTGTCGAGGGTTGTGGCATAGTTTATTCTTCTCTCCTTTACTGTTTTGGTCTTCACATTCTTTTAATGCGAATACTGTTGGACATTTTTACATGTTTCTAGATAATTCTGTCCCCCTTCCTTTAAGGATTGGTCAGTCATAATGTAACCATCTCAATGTGGTTATGGTTCACTCAGCCAATTACAAGAGGACCAGGTTAGGTTCCGTTAGAGAACATAAGGTTAGTACCCCTTGGTCACATTTCTGTAGGTAGTTACATTTACATACAAGTAATTTTTTAGTAATTTGTCCGGTATGCATCTATACATAACATGCATACGTGCATAGAAACCAAGAAACAACTTTAATTATTTGTATGCACTTGTGCATATCGTACAGATGAATGGTTAGCAGGATGTTTCTTAGTTTTTCATTTTTTTTTGGGGATTCCCCTATATAACCTTAAGTGAGATTTTTATTGAATCTATGACATCATGATGAATGTAAACCATTTTTCTTTTGGGAAATAGCTATTTTCAGGGATCTAATTTATCGTTTGGCCATTTCTCTCCGTAGATTTTCAAAATATCATTACCTCTGCAAGTAGCACCTCCATGACTTGCAGTGGAGCTAAAAAGACAAAAAAATTTCACTTTCCATTCACGTCCGCAAGTGGCACCTCTGCAAATGGGTGAAAAGTGAATTTCTTTTTTTGTCTTTTAGCTCCTCTACAAGTCACGGAGGTGCCACTTTCGGAGGTACTGATATTTTCGAGAATTCTGACGAGAATTGGCTAGAGATAAATTTGATTCTTGAAAATGGTTATTTATGCTAATTTCCCTTTTCTTTTAAAGCTCGAGAGGTTATGAATTTAATTAAAATCTCATTTAAGGTTATATATTTAAATATCCCTTGCTCTCTTAACTTTGAGCTTATAAGGAGCTGACCAATCTACTTTTCCATTCATATGGGACGAGTTGTTACAGTAAAAAAACATTGAGATGATACCTCAAGTGTGTTGTACATGTCTACGGCTGTGTCTAGTTCTCTATTTATTAGCCTTAAATTTTTGTCGTTGGGTTCATAACTTGGTGCTGGTTGTTGGAGGTTATTTTAGTTTAGACTTCTTTTTTAATTCAGCACATGTGTTTTATCCATACTTTGCGTCTTAAATCCCCTTCACTGTTTCCAGTTGCGTGATGGACAGAAATTCATGTAGACGGTTAACAAGTTTTTCAATTAAACATCGTAATGTGTCACACGTATTTTTGTTTATTAGCTTGTGCTCCTGTTTTAAGTGGATATGGTTAGGGGAATAAGCTCATAATTACTGGGACCAAAAATGGTCAAGGGTTGTTGTCTTGTTGACGTGGGATTGAGTGAATTTGCTTGTTTAAATTCGGTTATGGTGAAACATGATTGATGGTACTCAAAGGATTATTGGCTTGACAATACTTAAATTAGTGGTAGAACTCAACTTCTCTGCAGGTCAGAGATCGGTGTTTAAATCTCATCAATATGAAGAATGTACAAGAGTATTTGTTGTTTGGGTGAAGGATCGTGTGAGAATGAAAGGTAAGGTGATAAGTATAAAGATGAGATCTGGACCTTTGATCACCTTTAATTTCAAACTATTCATTAATCTTGCTTGATACGAGAATTGATCAGGTGTATCTCATTCTAATGTGCATCCAAGGGTGGAGATCCCTTCTTACGCTTCTTACTTTACTCTACTTCTCACAAGAACACAACTCTTATTTTGTGTGTGTGTGTATATATATATATATATATATAGAGAGAGAGAGAGAGAGAGAGAGAGAGAGAGAGAGAGAGAGAAAGACAACTGATCATGTGAGAATAAAAGTTAAGACGAGAAGTGTAAGAAATTATCTGAACTTTTGATCACTTTAAATTGCACCTCACCCAAGAATTGCGCTTATCACATAACTGATTTGTGCATCTTGGTGTATTGCATTAGTATTGATCTCAATTAGAATTGATCTAAGAGTGGAAATTCATTTTTATCTTAATTTTTTACCATAACTTTCATCCTTACCGGTAATTAACCTTATATATATAGGGTTGAGTTTACGTGAGACTAACATGTTTTTGTGAGATCCGTGAGATTACAATTTTACACTTGAAACTTTTCAGCAGAACACTGTGAGGGTTACTTTCGTAATGTTTTGCTATGAAGTTTCTAAGTATAAAAAAATGGTTTCACGGGTCTTACCAAAACAGTCTAGTCTCATGATCCCAAGTCTATATATGGTCAAGTTCAGGCTAGGGGAAAACCATAAAAAATGAAAAGCTGAGGAACGCTCTGATAAATATTCATCTAGACGATATGAACATATGCATATAAGTAACTTGTAAGCAATTTGTCTGGTATATACGCATACATAAAAAAACAACTTCAGCTACTTATAATACAGATATGTATACCATCCAGATATGGTTTATCACGATATTTTTTAGTTTTTCATCTTTTTGGATTCCCTAACCTCCCCCTCTTTCCCTTTATATGTTTGATGGTGTCTTGCGTTATATAATTTGAGGTCCTTAATATGCCATTATGTGTACCTAAATAGTGGTTGAGCTTCATTTTCAGAAGCGGCACATGCGGTTAATGCATTCACATCTGATCGAGTTTCCCTTTTAAGGCCAAGCCTTGACTACTTCTGAAAAGTCAGAACAGTGAAAAGCCAATTAATATATCTCCGAAACATACCCGAAACTATAAAAAAAAATTACATTTAATTCTAACAAATTATTTCATTTAAAAAAATTCAAATATTAATTATATTATTAAGTATTATGTATATATATAAAATATATAATATTAATTATCTTTTATTTGAAATATCTCTAACGGCTATGCTATAACATATGCTAAAATAGATTAAAAAAAAAAAAAAAAACCGAAGGAGTAAAAATCTCCAAATTAGAGATCTAGCGGTTGACTGAAGACTTGATTATTGGTATATCAATCGGTCCATCATGGATTGAAATAGGAGAGCCGGTTCGATAGGAAGCTTTTGAAAACGCAGTGCACCCATGTAAATAAGGAACGAGATTAATACAGAGATTAAACGAGCATCCCACACTCAAAAGGTGCCCCACATAGGTCTGTGTTTATAGTCGTAGCGATATTTAAAATCTCTAAAATATTACATCCAACTCTAAAGGCTGTTTTGTCTTAATTATCTATATATACTATATTATAAAACATTTGATAAAAACTATTAAAAACCATCTTTTATACATGAAGTACTGTTTATTGATGCATATTAATTGAAATTCAAGATTACAAATAAGTTTTGTATAAGTACAATTTATTAAGCTTCATATTTGAATTCATGTAACTAACTGTAGATAAATATAATTAAATACATGATAAAATTCTCATTTTAAATAAACCAAAAACAAATTACTTCGTCTTTAAACCTAAATTAAATTATATTAAAATTTTGAATTAAAAAAATTACACAAGAAATAAGAACTTATATATATATATTTTTAATTTTTATGTTATCTTCAAATTTATATTTTTAATGAAAACATTCTTGTTTGTATAAAACCACATAAATCATATTATAATATCCAAAGAGACCAAAAATATGAAACGAAACATTAAAATCGAGATATATCTTGCTGCATTGCGCGAGTACCCTTCTAGCATTATTAAACTATGAATTAAATACTATTTCTCTCTTAAATATAGAGTTTTAAAAATTTCTTCATATTGAAAGATTTCTTTTCTCTCTTACCATACAATATAGCATAACTGTTGAAACAAAAATATATCTTAAATAATAAATATCCAAAATCTTTATTTTAACATAGTTGTTGGATAACTTTAAGAGGGTGTTTGTTTACCTCTAATAGTTTTATTAAGACTCAATATTTGAATCAATAATAGGTGATTCTTGTTTAGCAAAAAAAATATATCTATTAATGGTTCTAAAACCTCATAATAATTTTGTATCTTGAATCTTCCTGAACCATTCAAAGCGCTAATTTCATTATAAACAATTATCAAACAACCATACTTCATTTTACATTATATTAAGAGCCTATTAATCATTTTGACTACTTAATCATCTTGCACCAAACCATTCAGCAACTGTCAAACAACCCCTAAATCATATTTCTAAACCTAAAACACGTGAATTATTACTACTAGAAGGGTACTCGTGCAATGCATCGAGACACATTTCGATTTCAATGTTTCGTTTTATTTTTTATTTATGTCGATATAATACGATTTTATGTGGTTCAGAAAAAGTAATAATGTTTTGATTTTTGAATAAAATATAAATTTGAATATCATATGAAATTTTGCAAAAAAATATATCAATATTAGTATCATATTAACTATTCAAAAGTTCTTATTTGTGTATTTTTTTAATTCAAATTTTTTATTATATTTTAATTTAACGTAACAAAATAATTTAATTTA